TGATGCAGTTCTGCTTGTGTTGAGTGATGTAAACAACTGATTGATCTAAACTCTTTAAACGTCAAAATTGATCATTAGATTTTTTATGACACAGCAGTGGTGAGTGTTCCCACCTCCTGCTCTTTGTAACTTAACGCGATCTTTCCGTTTTCGAGTTGTGGAAATGATTTTGGAGGATATCTTCGCAGTAGCGATTGACCGCAAAGTAAAGCTACCGGAAATGTACAACCCCACATCCGGTCTCAAACCAGGAAGTTAGCATTTTCTCGTGCACAGGGTCAATTAGTCCCAACAGTTCTTCTTCCTCGTGGCTCTGTCTCTCTCTGCAGCAGTTCCACCATGAAGCTCTGATTCACACAGTCTCTCCCTAAAATCTGCAGCCTGAACTCTGGACTTGCCGTCCTGGTCGGGTCCACGTGGGGGCCAGTTTCTACAAAGAGTTTGAAGTTCCACGAATATTCTGGACTGACTGAGCTTCATGTCTTAAAGTCATGACGGGCTGTTGTTTTGTTTTATGTTGTCATTCTGCTCTCTGTCTGTACATCAGATATAAACTTTAACTGACTCACTCAAACTGGGAGAGAGCATGAGAACACTGCACAGACTCACTGTTACCTGGTTTCACTGATATTCAGACAAAACAAACAGAAATCCTGCGAGAACACTTCATGTGTTCAGCCAACATCTTCTACTATTTAACATGTTTATCAGAATGTGTTTGAACCTTTGTGTTGTCCATTATCTACCTTGTTTTGTCCTTTTTCTTTGTTCCTCAGAGCCTTGATTCCCAGGACAGCAGAGCTTATCACAACACAGAGCTCCAGAACAGACAAGGTGATCATCACAGCACTGATGCTTCTCAGGAGCATCTGATAGGACACAAACAACAGCGTTTCATCTAAAGTCTCAAAATGATATATACTGCAGTATATAAGATAGTATCATATAGTGTATATGTGCTATTTTTCTTTCTGCTTTCCCTAACTTACCACCAGCACTGCTTGGCCCTCCAAGCATTTCTCCTGAAGGAGTTTTTCCTCCAAAGATGGAGGCCTTGTTGTTTCCCTGCCATACCCGTAACCATTGTAGCCATTGTAGCCATTGTAACCATTGTAACCATTGTAGCGACTGTAGCAATTGTAGTAATTGTAGTAATTGTAGTAATAGTTCCTCCAATAATAAACGTCTCCTAAATAAACGCCGTACAGTACAATGGCTGTGATGGCAAAAGCAACTCCAGCCAGATTCAGAATCACAGTAAGGATGACCTGAAAAACAAAAATGACCAGTTAATCTACAAGAAAATATCCAAACCATAAATGACACTTAGTGCATTCTTAGACTAAAGTATCATAGCCTCTGTGAGTACGCATGTTTACGTAGTCATGCCTGGATTCTTCATTAATCTAAATGTTGGTTTCTGTCTAGTTGCTGCTTTAGGATATGATGGTTGTGAATTTGGGTTTGGGGAAGTTTGGGGTTTCTGTTTTTGGTTTGTTAATGTTATTCTTCACTTCAGATTAACCCTTTAAGACCTACCATAGAACCAAGTCCGCCAGAGCTTATATTATATTTTTACATGTTGTGGAGCCATTTTTGGGAGCATTTCAAGTTG